TTTTTAATTTTTGATTTATTTGTATAAATATGAGTGTAATATACATAAAATTTATAAAAATATTATTTCTTAATTAATTAAATGAAATAAATTGTTTTTAATATTCATTTTTATAGATAATTTTTAAAAAATATTTTGTAATTTTAAACACATATAGGTTTAAAATTTATCTTTATCTATATATCAATGTATACAAATATTAATTCATTTATAGATATAAAAATTTACAAACATATTTTAGAAGCATAAAATGTAAAATATATAAAAGCACGTCAAGCCATATGAAGTCGTGTTTTCATACATAAAGACGTAGGAACTCATACAGTTTCGTACATCCAAAATAGCCCAGAGTACATAAATGCAACTCTACCACTAGCTTGGAGAAGCAGAATGAAAAAAAAACTGTAAAACTACCACCACGACGAGTAGCATAATGATAATGTTATTTCTAACAATGACACGCTGTAGCTTCCGTGTTTGCCCTTCATCATCTGAAACTCGCAAATCGCTGCCAGCATCATCCTCAGCATCAGAGAAACTGTCCGCCCATCGGAAAAATCTGCATTGACCGGCAAAGCTTCGAGGGCATGTATAAAACTTCATACCATAGCTATGTGTCTGCCGTGAGGTCAAAAGTGTGGTTTGCAGGCCACAATGACAAACCACACTTCGGGAGGTAGCGGACATTCTAGAACTCATATTATCCTGAAAAGCAATGCATCATAAAACATAATTACTAACATATTAGGTAATGAAAAAAGAGATCATTGAAATTGAAATATTTGTTTGAAAACAACCACAGACCCCTAATCAAATTGTGTTTACAGCAGATCTGAATCGAAATAATCACTCTCCAACTAATGAGGTAGTGATCTCCTCACAAAGGGCTGCTATTTCATTCGCACCTTCCCCATCTTTCGTGCAAATTGAGGCATTGTCGTTCTCCTCCGTTGATAGAGATTGGCCAATGCGGTATTCAAAGCTTCGACTAGCACTTCCTCGTCATTGACCTCGACACGCTCGAAATCAACATCAGCTCGAGTTGGATGCCGCTTAATATTGTTATTAAGGGCCATAGTGGCTAACACTACATGCACCTATTTTGAAAACGGATAAGGTGACATATCTCGAAGTATGACTTTCTTCCAAACTCCGAAAGTCCTCTCAATAACGCCTCACAAGGATGAATGGCTTTTATTAAAGACCTCTTTTCTATTTTTTGTACAATTGCTGACTCTCTGAAAATCTGGAATATGATACATTGTGTCAGGATAAGGTTTAAGGTACCCCCTCTGCATTGGGTAGCCAGCAACCAATAAAAAAGACTTTCCCGCTGAAAACTTATAAACTTTAGGTAAGCATACAAAAAAAAATCTACTTGCATTAGTAAGGAACTAACCATGCGGTGGGTGAAGAAAATTGTACTCCGGATTTCTCGTTGCAATTTTAAAGATTCTACTATTATGTGTGATGCCCTCCCATCCAGTCATTGCAAATGTAAAACACATGTTGAAATCACATACTGCCATGATATTTTGAGTTGTGTAAATGCAACTTTCTCGTTATCCGACACCCTAGCATGAACGTGCGTTCCATCGATTGTGCCGATGCAACCCTTTACGAATAAGTGAAATCATTTCAATATACAACCCAGTAATATTTATTTGAAGTATGAATGTCTACCTTGAAATATGGCATGTATCGGGCATCGTTGTGAATCTCTACTGGCGTTCTTGCAAACGTTGGATCTGTGGGTTTTATTATGGCTTGTGTTAGACTGACAAGAGAACTCAAACCAACTGAGAAATATCTGCTTATTGTTTCAGATGGTGTTGGAAGCGTTCCATGGCTCCCCGCATTGACTCGTTCTGTGATAAAATATAAAGTGTTATTCCCAATACTTCATGGTTTTTTGTCCTAGAAGATCCATGAAGTCAATGAGATGTTTTTAGATCTAATAATAGATCACTGAAAATACCCTGGGACATGTGGAAGATGTTTTGAAATCTCGTTGGGTGTCCTGAAATCATTTCTCCCATCCATTTGTCTCCAATTTGAGATGATGTGTAATAGGGCTCACGGTCCACATACGTATTATAGTAATGCACTAGTATATTTATGGCTACATTTCGACGTCGAAGTCGGGCCTCCTCTGGGGCCATGGTACTATACATTATACTTTGAAATATAGTTAACCTCATAGATGGAATAGAACAACCAGACATATGAATTATAATTGGAAAATAAATAACTTAAACATCATTTGAAATGAAAATAAATCAGTTTCATAAAAAAGACGAACAACCACAAATGAAAAAGTCTACTATGAGGAGTAATCATAGATGGAATGAAGTGCATCAGTCTAGTATCAAATCGTAAACAAACACAATGTGAACTAATGAGGAGCTAAACTTCACAAATCACGACGGTTACAATAATAGCGTATGTATTCCAGTCGTCGCTCTTTGCTCAATGCTGTGAAGAAGTCTCGGTGGAGGGAATCACGAAAGAGGTCTACAGCAAAGTAGAAAAGATCACGATCCCCTGTAAATTCTGGATCTTCTTCAAGAAGTCCAATGACCTCATGAACCGAGGTTTTTTGAACTCTGTGAGGGGCATCATTAGATGAGTCCACTAGGTATGAGAGCTGCTCCCTCATAGATGCAGGTCCACTCTTTCTCTTGCATTCGTTCCGGGGGCGCTTCGCACGATTGTTGGATTGAATTTCAAGTGGCTCAACACTGCGAAATTCTGCAGAATCATTTGATAATTCCACGGCCACATTCTCGGGGGTTGTTTCAAAAACTGTTTGGCTAGGGGCAGCTGAATATTTCCCTGTAGCTACCACCCCACCAAACATCATTTGTAACTTGCCCTCCAATTCTGATTCAATCTCAGCCAATCTGAACTTCTTTGCCGCAGGAACAATCTGCAAAAGAGAATGAATGGTTATTAGAGCCACCACTCCTCTGACGCCTCAATTGTTCTATTCACCGAATCCCATCCAAATCCAGTGGAGCCACGCTTCAAATCATTCAACAGTTTCCAATCTTTCTTAAGCTGATTCCATTTATTCGTTAATTGGAGTCTATCATATTCCCTACCTGTCATCTCCTTGAATTTGCTAACGATGTTATCCCAACCTTCCTTATTGAAAAATGTCGAAAATTATTGAAAAATGTCGTTGGCCTATTTCCCTTATCAATTTCACATATGCATAGGTCACAAAATATAAATTTGGTGTCCTCCCAAAGTGCAGGAGTGGCAACCTTTTTATTTTTATTAGTCATGCTAATAATATCACAAAAAAATAACATTCAAGATGAATTAATATAACGAATTTAAACATTGCTAAACAAATGAAAAAATAAATATAAACACGTTGCAAGCAATAAACCAAATAAGAAATTTAAAGATAAGGGAACACATGAATTTACGTGGTTTGGTCAACTGACCTACGTCCATGGGAAACAAATGAAATATTTTATTGAAATACTAGCTGAAATTTTGAAACATATCAACAAGGACTCCTTTGTTATACACATAAGCACAACTTACAACATATATACAATATATAAAAGGTAACTTCTCATTAGTTCTCTTCCTTAATGCAGCCGCAATGTTCTCACCTCCAACTACAGTAACAATCAAAAATTGAAAAATAACAGAAATTCGGATCATAGGAGTAATTCTTGCGGTGGAAGTCATGAATTGCAAGCAAGAAATAAAAAAAATTACAGGTAGAAGAATTCTTTCAAGCACTTTGACACATGTTCAGCAAACAACTAATGGATTCCAACATAGAAGGAATCCGAATCACATTAGGATACAATAAAAATGGAATGCCGAACCCACAGTTCATATTTTTATAGCAAGAACCAATTCTTCTGCCCCAATCAGCATCTAAGACTTTATATAGCACAATCAATTCACAATAGGATCACCAATAGACAATTCTTCTGCCCCAATCAGCAACATGAAGGCTCAGAATGATAAAGTTTTATGAGAGCATGTGCTTGATGAGAGCATAAATGCCACAAATGTGTAATTGGCTCAGAATGCCATAAATGCCATAAATGCCACAAAGAGAGGCCACATAAAAGCCAAAATGTTTACATGTGCTTTATGAGAGCATAAACTTCAAATTTTTATTGCCACATAACCTTTAGGATTTCAAGAGGGAGAATGTGTAAAAAAGAAGACAAACAACTGGAGAAAGGATAAAGTTGGGTAAAAATTATTTGAATTAAAGATTGACTTAATTTTATAATTAAATTTCATTTTATAATTAAATTTATCACAAGTTATTACCATAAAGTGTGCATTAAAATTAAAAAGTTAAACAAAATCATAGTATATGATATCAAAAATGTAATTCCCCTTATAATAGTCATTCATCCTTATTGCATAAGCATCTAATAGAACATTCCTTCCAAGGTTATAGTGCTAGTCATCACATTGTGAAATGAGTGATCTGGAATATTATAGCATCTACAAAATTGTCATCTTGATCATGAATCCACTTATGCTCACACCAAATAGCCAACCATATTCTATGCACCATTTGACAGCCTAATTGAAAAGTCATTAAAGAGTTAGCATTGTTATCTGACATTTTCAATATACATTACTCATCAGCAGCAACATATTCTCCCTCCTCAAGACATCAACAAATTCCATTTTTGTAATATATACTAGTAGCCACAGTTAAAGCCACTCATAACTGTGTACATATTCTTCAAACATTGAAAATTATAAATTTGTTATGTCTATTGAGCAAAGTCTTACAGCTTTTGAAGCCTCAATAAACAATAAGCTCGGGTAGATTGAGATTGCCCTGAGCAGTGACAGCACAAGAATAAATGTCATCGGCGCACGAATAAGGTCTATTGAAGACCAAATAAATAGAGAGTATAACATGACTCATTGTCCCCAAGATGTAAATACAATAATAAACAAACCTCCTGTCATTTTAAATCAAATAAATGAGTTCAACATATATAGGTATAACCACTCCTCACTCTCAAACTAAGATTGGGGAAGAGGAAAATAATAAGGAAGCAAAAACACCACTTCCTAAGCACAAGCAAGAGAATAAGGGCATAATCATTCCTCCTCCTAAGCCAACTCAACCGACAGCTTATATGTAGATGATGTGCAAAATATCAACAATGTGTGATCTATGTACATTAATGCTTTGCTTAAAATTCTCCAATAATGTTCATATTTTCTATTAGTTGCTTAAATATTATGATAGAACCCAACTTCAAGGAAGGAAAGAATGAGATAATAAGTACTTCACTGTAAAATATGAAATATTTATGAACTTCACTCTAAATAAATTTTGTATTAACTTGCGGCCAGAATGAGCTGTCGAAGATCAACTAAAGAAAAAAAAATCATTGCAACATGCACTATCCATGTTAAACTGGCACCAATTGCAAACAAATGTGTCTCAGAGCAAAACATCAGTGATGAATCAACCACTAACTAATGTACAGATCCACCGAGAAGGGAAAGAAAAAGCATGAACAACAACCACTACACATGAATCAACCACTACAACCACAACCTTATTCCATTCTTGAGCCAACATCCACCAAACAAGAATGGCTCAAACGAGAAGAGAAAGCAAAGGCAAAACCCTAGTGAAGCAACCGGTAAAAAACTAAACAGGTTCCATGCGCTAAACAAAAAATCGTAGAAATAGGAAAAAGATGAGAAGAGAGAACATCACATTCGAAAAAACCCATAAGCTCCCTCATATCTGCGATTAGAAAAAGAAAATTGCTCGTTACACCTCAGATCAGTCAATCGAGGGGCTACGAAGCAAGATGACGAAGGAGAGCCGCGAGGGAAGCAGTTAGGGAACGAAATGAATAAGCGGGGAATATCTTCAGGCGAAAGCCGGGCCGCGGGGTTAATATTGCGGTCCGCTTTCGCTAAGCGTTGGGAAATTTTGCCGCGAAGCTACGAACCAAACATTCGTCAATGCAGGATGAAGCAGATGTCGCACGCAGCGCCGCGCCAAAAAGCCGAACCAAACGGACCCTAAGTCTCTATCATAGAGATTAGGGCTTAATTTTGGGTTTAAGTGAAGCATGGGTAAGGTTAAGCACTTTTAGAGGGCTTGATAGAGATCCCTCCTTTTGCTAGGGTGACATGTGCATGGCTAAGGAGGTGTACATATGGCTTGGCCAAGGATTCATGGCTTGCATATGGCTTGGGCATTTTCATGGAGAAGGGAATTATAATAAAATGGGCATTTCGTTAGGGGTCACCATGAAGCTAAATTTGGTTAATTTCAATCATGCACTTTGGAACTTGGGGTTTGATTTTAATTAAGTGGATGATGGGAGAAGATTTCACGTTGGAGTCAGAGGTTATTTTTTTATGTTTCTTCGTATGTTAATTTATTGGTCTCAAACATTATTTCATTGTATAGTTGTACATTTTCATTTGATTTAATGCAATTGCCTTTTCTTTTATTTATGTATATGATTTAAGTGTTAATTAGTTTCATAATTATGTTGCTACATGTTAATTGCAATGTTACTATTGTAGGTGTGTAGATTGTTGTGTTGGATGGGGCCCATTAATTTTTTTTCTGATGCTATAGGTTTTCAACGGTTTACCGTCCATTTTACGACAGCTTGAGTACATATTGATGGTTTTCTGACGGTGTACCGAAGAAGCGACATTCAAACACATTGTTATGCTTTTGTTACAGAATAAACCATTAGAAAATTTTCATGGTTAACCGACAATTTTGCTCAACTTTACCGATAGAACTGTGACACTTTTCTGATGGAAGTGTATCACTTTCTTAATGATTTATCCCTTGGTTACATAATTGAAGGTCAAGCTATGTTCAAGCATGTATTTTTTTTGGATTGCTAGTGACAGTTATGATCTGTTGGTTACCTGTCACTTAAGTAAATAGTAGCTAAATCCGTAGTTAATTTTATTACCAAAAAGCATTTTTGCTACGTCTAATAAACTGTCATTAAACTGTTGATAATTTTATTACCTACGGTTTTTACTTTATTACCGACAGTATTTGATCGTCGTTAATAGGATAAATTCCTGCCAATTTCGTGGGCCCCACTTGAATTTGTAGCATGAATAATAAGAATTTAGTTTTATATGTAAAACTTTAAAAATGTATAACAATTCATAATATAATTTCCCAAAATATGAATTTGAGTGATTTCTAAAATTAAAATCTATTTTATTAAATATAAAAATATACTTTTTTATTATAATTATATTTTATAGAACTTTATATATATATATATATGTATATATATATAT